TAATGAAGTGCGCCCCGACTAGGCCGGCTATTAGCAGTGCAGTGAAGCGAGCAGGAGAAATAGTCACTGTAGCTTTGGACAGAGTTACTGTGGCGTACTAAATCGCATCAACCCGTCACTGTTGCGATTCTTTTTGCGAAAAATGAGACCATTTTTTTAAAGAGAAAACAAATTTGAAAATTCCATACATTTTTCGGAAAAAGCGAACATTTTTTGAAATATGCAAACATTTTCTAGAAATTTTCATAATACTTGAACCTTTTTTCAAATGCAAATTTTATATTTGAACTTTTGAAAAATCCTAAACAATTAAAATACGGCCCTGGTACATTGAAGGTTCCCAAAACCGGAACAAGAAATCCTTTTTCTAGCGCTAAATGGGCTATCCACTTACTTGTTGGGTGCTGCTTCGACGACAACTCGCCTTTCGGGAGCAACTAGCTGAGAAACGTTCGTTCTCAACCTTCCCAAGGGTCACTTGGGGTGGGCTGAAGGCGCGTCACTTGGCGCGCTCTCAGCTGCCGTCACGTGTCACACTATGGGCGTTTGCTCTGGATTTTGTTTTTTCCACACGATTTCTGCTTTTTAGATGGTTTTTAGGGGTTTTTCGACTTTTTGGTTTTCCACCGGTATTCCTTAACTTTTGGACAATTTTTTTTATTTTTTTGCGCGAGAAAACACATTTTATTTTTTATTCCGCGAGCTCTCGAAAACAAAAAAAAACATGTTTTCTCTTTTTTCTTTCTGCGACAGGCACGGGTTTACTTCCGCGGGAGGTACGGTTTTGCTTCTGCGAGAGGCACGAACGTGCCTCTCGAAAACGAAAAGAGAAAGTTGTTTCTTTTTTTTTCCTTCCGTGAGAGGTACGGTTTTGCTTACGCGAGAGACACGGTTTTGCTTCCGCGAAAGGCGCGGATTTAGTTCCACGAAAGTCACGGCCATGCCTCTCGGAAACGAAAAAAATGTGTTTTTGTTTTATTTCCATGAGACAGACGGTTTTGCTTCCGCGAGAGGCATGATTGTGCCTCTTGGAAACGACATTCGGAAAGAAAAAAAACATGCTCATGGTCTGGTTTTTTGTTTATTTTTCTGTGAAAAAATGTTCATCAAAATCTATCAACATGTGATCTAATTTTGAAGATCTTGACTCAAGGAATCCAACAGTGAAAACGTTTCGAGATTTGGATGCATGGTTTAAGAGATAAAACATTTTAAATAAACTGATCTACGAAAAAAAAGAAAACTCCCTGTTGTGACAAGTGGCACACGTGCCACTTGTGCAACCTGAGAAACTGAAAGTTATCTTTGCAAGGAGTACAGTGATTTCGTCGGCTTACTCGTCACCCCTGTGCGAAACAACGACAGTCTATTGCCATGTGCGACACATAGGATTTGCGACAGCGATGGTCGCATCGCCTCAAAGGGCTACTCTAGTTGGCCGACCCAATAAGATTTCTTCTCTTGTTGGCTCGTCATGCAGGTATGTTTCGTTCTTTTTCCCTTTTAACTTTTATTTAAGTTTTCAAAAAATTGAAATATAAATATTTTGTAAAAAATTACTTACCCAATTATTTAAATGTTAATCACCATTAAAAATATATTACACACAAAATTTGTTCATTTAGTTTTAGGAAAAAAATCTTAGACCATTCAAAAAATGTTTGTAACATTTAACAAAACACAAAAAGGACTGTATTGATTATCTCCCAATTGGTTCGAATCGTAGGGGTGATGCTTTACTTCACATGCATTTAAGTGTCACATTCAGAAGAAATATGCTTCCACACCTTTTTTCTTTAAAATGTAAAGTTGACATTCTAGCACGAATCTCCAAAAATACTTCATGTTTGTATAAGTTTTTTAAATCCTTCCATGTTGGGATTGGTCACAAGTTCCAATTTGATACATTTTTTTGGGAACTCGCGGGCGATTATTAGGTGCATGGTCTATCACTGAGCTAATTGCCCGTCGTGTGGACCTCCCAAAGTGAGGCCTATTACGCCAAAAGAGAGAACCTCCCACATTAGGATTGCTTTGTTAATGGTTGATCAAGCTTGATGGACCTCTCCCCCTCTAAAACAAGAAGTTGTGGTCTGAGAGGTATAATATCAATCACTTATTGTCCATCTGGAAGCACCCCTTCTTCCAAAGTTACGGGGTTATTTTGTCTGAGTTCCTTAGAGGGAGTTGCCTCGCTCCCCTAGGTATTCTGTACCCACACACCTGTGTTGGGATTGGGTACAGGTACCCTTTGTTGAAGGTCCTTCGAGCTCCTCCAAATCACCAGTATGACTATGGAAATTATGAGTATTAGTATGTATGTCTTAGATCCAAGTGGTAGCATCAGGGTCCTTAGCTAGAGTTCTTAATATGGCCGGGCCAGTCCCATTCCTAAAATGTTTTTGCAAGATCCCTCACATGTTTAAAATATGTTTGTCAAATTTTCCAAAAAATGTTCAAGAAATGAACTAAATTTATTGCTTAACTTTAAAAAATGTATGTGCCATTCAAGAACATGATCATGACATTTTCAAAATGTTCACATTAAAAAAATATGTTCATGACGTATACAAAATGATTTCAATTTTATTTAAAATACACGATGAACAATTTAAAAACTGAACATCTTAAATATACGATGACCAATTTCATTTTAAGTGAGTATTTATTTTGAATTTATTGTTCATCCAGGAGCATATCCTCTCCAGAGCCAAAACGGTCATCCTTCCATGTAGTATGTTCCCCTCAAAAAGAAAATTTATGCATTATGTATTATATCATTTCTGACCTTCCCTGGATTATGCCATAGCATCTCCAGGCACTTATCATCGGTATAATGGCTTCTCCGGCACCCAAGAGCCAAAATGGCCGTCCCGGACACAAACTCCACACTATGTTTTACTTGTTCTAGTTGACTCCTGATAAACGAATGTACGGACCGTACATGCATGCATGCATCGACGTGTACGCACGTGCATGCGCCTGAGTAGTGCAAAAATAAAAGTATTATAAAGATACTTGATCACGAAGACACGAACTGATCGAGCTGATAGAAACAAGAGCTCACGCACATCGATCCACGTCACTTGGTCGCCTGAGTAAAATACTTCGCAGTCGTCTACTGAGAAGATCCTCGATGGTACTAGACGCACTACATGTGTACATGCATCCCCATGATCTTCACATGTATCTCCATGTCGACATGAGTCATTGTACGTGGTACGTGTTATGACGCGGTAAAGCATAGTTCTACGGGGAAAAACAGCGGTAAAACGTTTACTCCTAATCTCCTATTATACATAGATGATCTTTCTCCGAGCTCTCGATCATTATGTCTCTTCGTCATTTGTCCTCCACTTTTTCTGTACATTTTCTTTTACTTTCGTGCCGAGTGCTGACCTGCCCTCATGCCACGTGGCTGAACTCGTCGCCAAGTTATCATCAAAACCTATCTATTTTAACAGATAAACGATGAAATCTAAAGACTTTTGGCCCATGGCAAGTCAAGTGTTGTCCGTACCGGGACAGTAGTTGAGTGAGGAAGCGTAGTAGTACTCCACCTACTTTATCTTGGTCAAGCGAGATCGCCCACAGCTGGCTCCACGTATGCACGAAAGGGCGCCCTTTGCATGCATGTCATGTAGTGGTCGGGGCACAAATGCACCAGGCCAGGAACACGGGAATCAAGAGCAACTGAGCAAGTCGGCCTTTGCATGCATGCATGCACGGCATGTGGTGCGACTAATGACGGAATGCACGAGCTACCTGGCTCGCTAGGTCAACTGCTCAGGGCTCACGACAACAAAGGCAGGCTTAACTTTTTGACTTCATGCACTGCAGCATGTTGCACATCACCAAAATATATACAGTACTCTATGGTGAATTTAATAGATCTTGTGATGAATTTAATAGAACTAATTTGGTGTACTAGTATACTACTCTATATTGAAGTATTTTTTATAGGCTTAGTCAAACTAAAAGAACAGTGAACTAGGACAAACCTAAAATTTTGAATATTTTAAAACATAGGGAGTACGAAATAAGTTTGAAAACTAGAATGTATTTTTAGAGCTAAAAAACATTTTCACGTATCTCAATATCCTTGGTATCGATGAGAATTAAATCTCACTTGACCAGGAATGAACAAATTCGTAGAACATTCACATGATGGGAATGTGAAAAGGAAACATAAAAGGTTGATTTGTTTGTCATATAATCGAATATAGCGAACTGAGTGTAGTCAGATGGTTAGGTTTCTTGTGGTGGAACTAGTCCATCCAAGTACAAGTCCCCTATGCTTAGCACGTAGCTGTACTAGTGTATTTGCTTCAAATTTTAGGTGTGCCGTAGCTAGCTCCGCCATTAAGGATGAGTTTATGTGTGTATGTACGAGTGTATGCATTTGTATTGTGTTCGAAAAAGAAAACAATATAGCTACCTTTTGAGGTACCTGCAACGTGCAGTGATGCGTGGAACCTTCGTACATACGTGTTCCCATCCATGTGATTGCCGGCGTGTGCCACTTGCACGGATCGATTTGCAGATCCTCTGTCTGTCCTACTCGCCATGTGTATATATACGGCAGCCACAACGGGATACACATACATCCACGACGAACCACCTCCTGCTGGCAGCGTTGTGTTTTGCTCTGGAGAGCTTGTGCCGACGGTCGAGAGACAGGGAGAGTTGTTGCCATGGCGTCCAGAGAGAACAGCATCCAGATAGCAGGGGTACTGGACGGCGAGGCAGGGTGTGCTCTGTCCCCGGAGCCGCTTCTCGTTGGTGTCCCGTCGCGGGCCGCCGGCGCTAGTGAGCTAGCTCATGCCGCTTTTTTTATGGAGGCCGCCGTTGTCGTCGGCGGCGCCAGGAAGCTGACCATCAAGGACGCGGCCGCGGCTGCTCACGCTGAGACGCCGTGCTTGCCGGGCTCGCCGTCGGGGCTCTACCTCTCTCAGGCGCAGCTTGGCCTGCCGACGTCAATCCGCGCGTGCAACCCCGAAATGGGCGAGAATCGGGTGCTGCCGAGCGATTCAAAGCTCGAAGGTCACATCACTGCCGAGCCGCGGCTGATGAAGCAGACCCAGCACCACTCGTGGAGATCCCTGGTAGGCGGCGGCGAGGCACCAGCGCTGCTGCGGAGCGACAGCACGCGGGAGCTGGACCGCCGGTTTGATCACTTCAAGACCTTCTCGGGCCGCCTCGACCGGCAGCTCTCCAGCCTCCGAGGTCTGCAGCATGGCCTGCCGCCAGTTGACATCGAGCATGGTGCCGCGCCCAATACCTCCGGTGAGGACACCGACGAGGAAAACATAGTCCCTTCAGCCGATCGCTACTTCGCCGCCCTCGAAGGCCCCGAGCTCGAGATCCTTCGGGTAGGTATACCACATAAACCTCTGCACATAAACCGTGCCGTATTCCGCATTCCACCCAAATTTTCACCTTATTATAACAACTTAACAAGCATCATAGCCAGTCTCTGACAAAAGTGTGGGCATGCAGTCAACGGAGGTGGCAGTGCTGCCTGAGGATGAGCAATGGCCGTTCCTTCTCCGGTTCCCGATTAGCGCGTTCGGGATGTGCCTTGGCATGAGCACCCAAGCGATGCTGTGGAAGACACTCGAGTCGGAGCACTCAACGGCATTCCTCCACGTGCACCCCGCCGTCAACCACGTCCTCTGGTGGGCCTCTGTCGCCCTCACCGCGATCGTCTCCATCACCTACCTCCTCAAAGTTATCTTCTACTTCGAGGCCGTTCGCCGGGAGTTCCACCACCCAGTGCGTGTCAACTTCTTCTTTGCGCCTTGGATCGCTTGCCTCTTTCTCGTCAAGGGCGTGCCGCACCCGGTGTGGGAGATCCACCACATCGTGTGGTACCTCCTCATGGCTCCCATCCTCTGCCTCGACATTAAGATCTATGGCCAGTGGATGTCCAGCGGCGAGCGCCGACTCTCCAAGATGGCTAACCCGTCCAACCACCTTGCTATCGTCGGCAACTTTGTCGGCGCGCTTCTCGGCTCCAGGATGGGCCTCCGAGAGCTGCCCATTTTCTTCTTCGCCATCGGCCTAGCGCACTATGTTGTACTCTTCGTAACCCTCTACCAAAGGCTCCCCACAAACGTGCAACTACCCAAAGAGCTCCACCCGGTATTTTTCTTCTTTATCGCCGCGCCTAGCGTCGCCTCGATGGCCTGGGCGAGCATCTCCGGCGAGTTCAACGATGGAGCCAAGCTCCTTTATTTCATCTCGCTCTTCCTCTACATGTCGTTGGTGGTGCGCGTCAACCTCTTTCGGGGGTTCAGGTTCTCATTGTCGTGGTGGGCCTACACGTTCCCGATCACGAGCGTGGCCGTGGCAACAGTGTTGTATGCGTCGGAGGTGGACAATGTGCTAATGCGGGCACTAGCGGTCGGGTTGTCAGGGATTGCCGTTGTCACGATCACCGGTGTATTGGCCACTACCGTGTACCATGCCTTCGTGCGCAAAGACCTCTTCCCTAATGATGTTTCCATCGCCATCATGCGGCGCAGGCCCAAAATCAGCAAGATCTTCGCGCATCTCCGCTCTTCTAGCTCGGACATCAAGAAGCTCAACCTCTCCATCCCTAGTTCAAATTCCAATTCCAAGAACGACACGTACTCCAGTGACTCATGTTCCAACTCCAGGATAAGCAACAACAGCGACGAGTCTCCGGTGTCACAAGGGCATGTATGAGCAGAGTGTTAGATGTCCGATGCACAATAGGGTGCAGGCATGCATATCTACCACATAGATATTTCCTGTTTTTTCTTCGTTCTTTTTCATCTTTATATATTTGCTGCACATAGTGGTGGATTAGCAGCAATATCCTTGAGTAATTTGCATTGCCATGATGGTGATATTATTACGGATTTGCAGATAAATCTCACTTACTTTTATAAGTATGTATTTTCATTCACCGGATGTGCATATCTATATATCATCAATGTCCAATGTATGGCTGAGTGTGCAAGATGCACGATATGTGCCTAGCGGTCTTATTTCATATTTCATTGCAGAGAGAATTAATACGTCCAATAGATAGGTACTACAAAATAAACAGGCAAGTAGAATTGTAATCTTATTAGTCATGTAGTCAAATGAATAAATTAAACAAAAGTTTCAATACACTAAGTTCCATTAATAAGAACTGGCAACTTAAGACTCGAAATATTAAGTTTCACTTTCTGTAACTTATGAAAACCTTTTTAGGTAGATAACCATACGTCTAGCTGTTCTATTCCCGCTGTAAGATTCAAGGTCATAATATTTCATAGCACAATGAATTGATATTTCAAACAGATAGGTACTACAAACTAATGAAACAAGTAGAATAATACATACCAAAAACAAAAACATCAATGATCAGATTCAACTAATATTATAGATACAAGAACAAACAGCTATGGACAAGGAATATACATTAACAACAAACCTTTTTACCAGAATCGGATATAACTCTAGTAGTACTGTTGATATCGTTGACGTACTTCCGTTGATGCGAAGAACAACAAAATCTTGCTCCAGGATGGTTGTTCAGTAGGATGAGAGTGGACTAGAAGAACAGAGTGCTCGTCCCTGCTACTTGTCTATGTTAGTTTTTTTTGGCGGAATTGTCTACGTTAGTTTCAGTAATTGTATGGTAGGCTACCCCACATGAATAGTTACACTACCCCACAAGGACAGGTATAGTGCTTCAATTTACAATGACATTACACAAATATATCAACTCTTATACAAGACCAACATGCTAATCCACAGCCCACAATTTGCGTGTCCCCGCCCCCTGTGTGCTACAAATCCACTTCCATACTGATGCCCACCTTAAGGGCACTTCTAACCGATCCCCAATACGGCCATAAGCGAGTAAATTTTTTGGTTTACTCTCTTACGGCGGACCTAACCGATCCCCTAAAAATGTTAATGGATTATAATTGTTACTCCAACTCCCTATCCCCCCCCCCAAGATTTCCCTAAATATACTCCATCGTGCGGCGGCCAAGTAAAACTCCCCCTAGCCCTCCCGCCCCCGCCGCCGCCACC